CATGGTGGTTATGAGCATGGCTCAAGGGCTTTGAGAGAAATGGAATTGCTAGATTAGCATTCGCATATCAGAAGATCCAGGATCTGGGAAAGCTAAGCTTTCTACCAACAACAAGTTCTACCAACAAGAGAGAATTATAATCCAGCCGCTCCAGGATCAAAGCATAAAATAAACCCTAGCTAGCTCACCTAATGATACAGACATTCGTTGTGTAGCCAAGAAATCTAGGGATATTTCTATTGCATTCATTACTACAGCTTGTGGTTTTCTTGTAAGACTGGGTTGCAATGATGACGTAAAAGAATCGAGAGCGTAGTTTAACCAGCAATGTCTTTGTCCATCGAGATCTCAATCATTGACATCTTCTCGAATAAGATTCTTAATCATTGTCGTGTGACCCTTGCCGCACTTCGCCAAGCGACAACCCCCGTCAAGTAATCTAATGGCACACCACCTTGTCAATTTCGATATCGAGGATCAGAATCCATTACCATATATCGGTCGAGGTCATCCACAGGATTACGTATATATATATATACGACGCATGATATCACGTAGGAAATATATATTGTTTCTGGCCCAGCGTTTCCCAATTAACAGGTCCACTAGTAATGACAGTGCAAGAGTACGAACAGGTAGGTGCCTTCGTTGCTGATCCAAGAGACACTTGACATGAAGAAAGAAGAAATAGATCACGAGTACCTTTTCTTTAAGGGTTTCTTGCTCGCGCTTCCCATTGAAATCAGAGGCAGATAACTTGCAGTGCACTTCAATTCACAGCTTGGACAGTCTCTCTTATTTTTAAGAGGATAATGCAATACATTTACCGGAAGATCCTTGCCATCCTTGTGATTCAATCACAACACTAGTGTTATCCTATTGCAAGCTTTCTTCCCATTTAGCTTGTACACTTGCATTGGAACATCCCGTTTGTTCAAGAAGAAATACTACTCGAGCATCGTTATCAGAAAAATCTGATGACAGTGAAACCCACGTTGCAGCAGATCTCTATAAGAATGCTTTGTTTAAGGGGGAGCGAGCTTGGTGGTGGCTGAGGTCACGGGACTTTGGCTCCGTTCTCATAAACAGATGCTAAAAGAAACAAATCCCTGACTTCTTTCTATCAAATTAGCTATAAGAAACCCAAGGAGTCAAGCAAAACTAGTAAGGCTTCACTATCAAGTAGAGCAGGTTGGTGCCAAGGCCTTATAAGTTCCTACACTGATCTATTAGCTCTTGAAACTTGTGAATACTATGAATTTTTTTGTGTGGAAATATAAGTTTCATCATTTATTATCCTGTCCATAGGACTGTGGATTCATAAGAAATTGCACCTTGCACATTATTTGCAGTACCATCATTTAGCCTTGATTGATCAAGATCACAAATTTTGGCTAGTTTATGAATCGAAGACAAATCGATATGGAATCGATCAACTAATTGAAAACGGTTGATGATTGATCAATAAAAAAATAGCTCCGACAGCAATTAGAATATCATGTTCATGACAAATTGTAAGAAGAAGAAGAATATGGCAGAAAGATCTTCACTACCAGTGGTATAGACGAAAGCCAGTGGAGTCCACAGGGAGAATATATCATGCGATGGAGTTCCATTTGTGGTACTTATAATAGTATATGAATCCCTGCACCGAACACGAATGATCTTAAGGCTATCATATTCAATGAGGATTCCTTTAGATAGTCCTCTGGAGCCATTTCTTATGCTCATGCAGTACCGGACAAACTGAGGAGGAGGGTTGGCATGCCAATCGACGATGCATTGCTTGATGGTTTGAGTACCACCCATCTCTCCGTCGATCTGGACGCAACAGCATCTAGGCTTTCTCCATCCCATTGGCAACATGACTCAACATCTGCGTCCAAAGATCAAAGCTCCGTCCAGCCTAATTGCTAAAGCCTTGTCGAGGGATTGAAAGGGGGGATTGAGACAGAGAAGGGTAGGGTGACTTTGTAGAGACTTGGACCGATGAGCTGTGCTGCTCACCGTCCATGCATGCACGCGGAAACGTGTGGGGGCAATGTTGTTGAAGATGGTTTTCCCCATGTGTCTCCCGTGGATCCTTGTCGCAGTCCAGTTGATGCAGACAGATCCAAGAAGACAATCCTCATGTGCTATCCATTACGGTCTCATGAAAGACAGGATGGAATCATGCTGGGATGGTTCTTAGATCTTGCATCCATGCAGCTCAGCCCACTTCGATTGCCCAACTTCACTCGTAGAACAAGAATCACGACCCAGCCCATCGTCCCATGGCCTGTGCTTGTTATAATGACCTGATATCACATTATTGGTTTTTCTATAGAATTAAAAATAATAATAGAAGAGACTAGAAATACCTTCAATCTATTACTCTTTTGAATGTTTCGAGACATCTTCTTATCAATTTGAATTTTGTAGGATTCGTCATGTGAGATAGTTTGTATAGATGCACAAAAACTCATATGATTATAGCTTTTATATCATAATATCGATTCATCGGTAATAGTAGCATGTAACGAGAAACACTTTGTTTTTTATCATCTTTACAGTTGATATCAATTTTCTTATCATAAATCAAGCATTTTTTATTGTAACAAATAGTATAATATCCTTTTCTCATTAAATAGTATAATGTCTTTTTGTAATTAGTTACCATATACTAATGAAATTTTATTTTCAATCAAAAATAAAATTTACTTCATCAATAAATTCTTTACCAGGTATTCACATTAATTGTTCATTTTCCTTTCAATTGAATCTTATTATCATTTCTCATATGTACTATAGATCTGATTGAATCATCATGTCTTTGAAACAAACTTTTATCTCATATCATATGATTACTATATCCACTATCAAAATACTAAATAAATTTAGAATATTCTTCTTTAGATACTATAAAGAAAATATTTTCTTCATTCCTTTATTATTATTTTTTTCTCGTGATAATTTATTTAATTTTTATTCCAACAATCTTTTTCAAGATAATCATATTTTTTATAATAAGAGCACAGAGGAACATTTGAATTTTTATTTTTATACTAGCAATCTTTTTCAATATGTCCAATTTTTTTACAACAAAAACATCGACGGATTTCTTTGTTACCTTCTTTCGAGTTTCTTTGACCATTTTTTAATCAATCATGACCTATGTTATTTTGATCTCTCTTTGAGATCTAACTTCTTCTTTTTTTTTCTTTGTATGATTTATCTTCGTTTGAAGAGTATGTTCTGAAATTTTTTCTGAAGATCTATTTACTTTTTATTCATAAACTAAAGTGGAGCCCATTAATTCATGAGACAATATACTTGTATCTTTAGCTTCTTCTACAATAGAAGAAATCATATTAAGTTTTGCAGATAAACTTCATAAACATTTTTCTAATACGGTTTGATCTTTTAGATTTTCATCATAAGATCTTATTTTATTCACAATAAAAGATATTTTTGAGAAAAAGTCAATGAAAGTTTTAGAATCTTTCATAGTTTCGAATTCTATGTCAAAAAATTTGAAGTTTCTAAATTTTTACATGCCTCCAAACACACTTTTTCTAGGCTTCGGTTGATGTTGATGTTATCATGATTCAAGAAAATAGAGAATCATCTATTGCTTGTTATAACATATAAAGGGCTCTTGAATCTTTTTATATATTCTCATTCATTTAATTTCTTTCATATTTAGTAATATTAAGATTCTATATATCATACTTAACAAAACTATCTTCTACTAAATTTCACAATCCTATTGAGATAAATAAAATTTTTATCTTAATAGTCTAAAATTTATAATTTTCACTCTTAAAGATAGGAAAAAGTTGATAACGAACACTTATCCAATATTTGTGGCTCTAATATTACACTATTGATTTTTCTATAGAATTTTACGAAAAAAGGAAAGAGAATAGTAGAAAAAACTACGTCTATTTTTTTGGATTGATTCAAGAATACCTATTTATATTGACTAAAAGATAGAGTATAAATTTTTAAAAATAATAAAAAAATAAATCTTTCACTCTTATCTATTTATTTAAATCTAAATTTTTATCTTTGATTTCATTCAATCCTAATTAACCTCAGCACGCTGTATCTTGTAGATATATCTTTTTGGCGACGTGACTATGTGCAAGTAGACATGTGCATGGATTATATATCAAAGCTTATGAGAACGAAAGACCAACTCCATTTTATTTCTCTCCCTTCTTTTTCTTTTTCCTTGATGATAAAGAAAATGTTAATCTGGAACGATGATCGTCTCCCTTCTACGAGTAGTTCTCGGCACTTCTCGCCAATCTCATAGAATATGATAAAGCAACAACACATCGATATGTTGCCTACCTTGTCTGAAACGTTGCAGTCGTCTCCTTTACTGTCCGAGTCTCGACTTCAGCAGGTGGACTCAGCCGACTCCCATCTTCCAGAAGTTAATGTCAACTGTTCCCTCGACGACGTATGCCATCACTTTGCAGGACGTCCGATTTGAATGGTTCAGCATCTGCACAAGACTCCCCCCCCTCTTCTTCCTGCAGACCTACCACAATAATAACGCGTGCAATAACTTCAACAGCAATGTTTAGCTGCGTCAAAGTGCATCACTCTCACAAGTATGATATTTCTCTTCTCTTTCTCGGCCAATGTGCTATGGAAGAACACGCTCTTTCCCTGCCAAAGTGTTTGTTAGTTTACTTGGAACAAACGTGAACAGCAAGTCGTCTTCGAACAACAGAAGTTGCGGCTTCTTTGCTTGCCGTGCGCTTCAAGCTGCGGTCAACCCATATATAACGGGTTAATTGTCGTATCAAATCAGATTATAACAATTGATATCGTTTTAATGGTATTTACTTTAGTTATAACGATATTTCGATCGTTTCAGAGACGTTATGGCCGAATATAACGGGCATTTAAAACCCTGCCTACACTGGAGAAGCGAAGAACGGTCAAAGAAAAAGAAGCCACCACTTGCTTTCCTCGTCTCCCCTCCCCTCCCTCTCTCTTTCTATATGAACGAGAAAGAGAGGTGGAGAAGGAGAAGGAGAAGAAGAAGAGAAGAGAGGCGGTGAGAGATGGAAAGGGGCGTGCCGGTGGAGGAGCTGACTTCCGGCGCGAGCGGCCGCATCATCCCGGTCTTCAGGAACATACGGAGGTTCGTGCCGTCGCCGGCGTCGCTCCTGCGCGTTCTCCTCTTCCTGCACTCCCTCGCCTTGTGGTTCTTCCGTTTCGTCCGCCGCCGGAGCCCAAGCGCCTCCAGGACGGCGGCGACTGCAGCATCCCCGCGGCGGAGGTCGAGCAGAGGAAGTTGGTCAGTGGCCGCGGAGGAGGAGGACGTGCTGCGCCGGAGGGCGATCGCAGGAGGGGTCGAGATGGTGACCACGTCGGAGGAAGGCGGAGCGGATGTGGCGTGCCGCTGCCGGACATTTGTGTTCGTGGGGCCTCGGAGGAGCGCGCTGTTCTGCCGGTCGTGGGTGCCGGCATCGGGAGATTTGAGGTGAGGTTCCGATCCGATGCCTGTGGTCGAGGATTAGGGTTTCTCGTAAACCACGCGAGGAGATGGATTCGGAAAGCCTGCATCTTTTTCCACCGATTTCATGGTTTTGAAATATCCCCTTTTCGTAATGCTTGATGGTTCGATTTGTTTGGGAGGCTCAGGTTTTGTTTATTGTTCCTTTTTCTGTGTCCGCCGCAAAAATTAGTTCTTTTGACGATCGGAGTAAGGTTATATAATGTAGATTATGTTTTATTTAATGATTGCAGAGGCTAACATGATGTACGCTATCGAATTATACTCTTGTAGAAGGTTCATTACGTTATGAAATGGTTGCTATACTTACTGATCATTTTTCATTCATGTTATTGATGAATAAATAGCTGTTTTTGCTCCACATAAATATTGTTCCAAATTTCGAGATTTTTGTTCTGTTGGATCGATTATTATTTTGTTTGTAGGCAAGTATACTCCCATTGTTTCATAGTGAATTCTTCATGTACTTCATTGCTTCCTCACGGCTATCTGGTAGCTGCAACTGGAACTTGGTTATATTATCATTAGATTGGACAAAGGAGATTATTTTGTCTTGGTGAACTTCTACTATTCGGTTGATCTTGCCTTGTCATCTGCCAACTCAGATGGGTGTTATTCCTACTTGACTAGAGCTGTGTCATTTCTGACTTGATATCATGTTCTGTTAGCAGACTTTCTATGTTTGATGGTCCGATTACTGGTTCTTCGATCTCATTCGTAGTGTATTATTGGCTCGCATCAAAGGGTCGGATCAAAATAAACCAGCCATTCTTTTCTTACTGGCTGCCTTTCTGGTGAATTCAGTTAATATCACTGTCTTCTTACCCCCAGTTTTAGGGAGGTAGAAGAGTCCCAAGTTGGACATCGAGTGCAAACTCATCAACAAGTTTTGGCTACTGTCTATATCCACTGTAGGCTTCTAGACATAGGAGCTGTAAGATCAATTGCTACTACTACAACACAATGGTTCCTTCCACAATTTGAGTTTTCTTGAGGACAGCTATCCTAGGGGCCGAGTAGTTGGATCAACTTACAGCTGTGACAGTTTGGGCCTTAGTCTTAGAAAATCAATAAAAGGACCTGAAAACTAGAGCCTAATGAATGCCAGCTTTTATATTCTTAGTATTATCATTTTTATATTTAAGCGGTACAACATTTGAACTTTTCTTTTTCATGATTTATTCTTGATGTTGCCTAATGAGAGTTGTTCTGTTGATTTGTAGGGGTATCATATTGATAATACATGGACTCAATGAACACAGGTAGAGAGAGAGCATGATTGGTTTTTCTTTTATTTGCATCTATATATTTTACACTTAAATGCACACACTTATTTGTTTGTACTCCGTCTGAGTGATGGAGTAATTGCTGGTGGTGTCCTGGTGGACTCTCTACTGTCTATCCATAAGTAGCTATAAGTAAATGGCTGCGTTTGGCACAATATTGCTAGCCAATAGTAATACATGTGCTTCTTAGATTCTTCGTAACATGGCTGTTCTTTTTTTTCAGTGGAAGATACTCACATTTTGCAAAGCAGCTAATGGCATGCAATTTTGGAGTGTATGCGATGGACTGGATAGGTGTGTGTATGTACTTTAGCTAATTTTTTCCTTTATGGCAGTACGTTTTGCAAAACACTGCACGAGCTTGAGTCCTACTTTTAGCAAATTTTAGTGGTTCCCTACATGCCAAGAAGATGAAATGCAGCGTGAGTAGGGATAAAATTTTAAGCAGTATCTTCTTTTCTACAACCTGAAATTATTACATCTCATTAATTCCAAAATTGACTATCTTCTCATGTTAAGAATTTAAGATTGCTGCAATCTGGTGTAAATTTTCAAGTGCAAGGCCTGTATGGCATCTCAAAAGCACTATCTATGACCTTGCACTGCACGTATGATTCACTCATAATTATTTAATAACTAGCTCAAATAATGCTAACTCACACATGCTTAGCATGTCGACCTCATACTTCCTATCTTTTGTTTCCCATCTGTCCTTTGAGAAATGACTGGTTTGCATAGTAGTTGACTAGTAATTGTCAGGATTCTATAGATTCAGATAGCTTTTAAAGTGTGCTAAAAATACAAAAGTTGGATAGTCCTAATTTATAACAAATTATTTTGTTATCTTTGACAGGCCATGGTGGTAGTGATGGATTGCATGGGTATGTCCCTTCACTAGACTATGTTGTGGAGGACACTGTAAGTTGTTATTATTGCTATTTTCTTTATGCTTGTTTTTAATGCTGGCTTTAAGTAGATTCAAAATTTTGTTTTCATTTTTTTCAGATAAAATTTCTGGAGAAAATAAAATCTGAAAATCCCAAAATACCTTGTTTTCTTTTTGGTCACTCAACTGGTGGAGCTGTGGTTTTAAAGGTAAAGCCATTCTAGAAATAAAAAATCCTGTTACCTGTCTTGATTATTCCTAATAGATCTATTCTGTTCTCATCTATGAATTTGTTGCATCACAGGCAGCTTCATATCCTTATGTTGAGGCCATGGTAGAAGGGATCATACTAACATCTCCGGCACTGCGTGTAAAGCCAGCTCATGCAATACTTGGGGTAATTGTTATCGCTTTTGGTCTGATTCGCATGCTATGAAGTTAGGATGTTGCATATTAACAACTACTGGATGCAAAGAGAATAATAGTTATCGATAGAAAGCAATAATAGACCATTTAGGAGTTCCACTTAGTGAGAACTACAAAATCATTCAGGTGGCTCATTTGCTACATATTGCAGGCTGTGGCTCCAATTTTTTCACTTGTACTGCCAAAGTTCCAATTCAAGGGAGCTAACAAGAGGGGCATTCCTGTGTCGAGAGACCCAGCTGCTATGTTGGCCAAGTACTCGGACCCACTAGTTTACACTGGGCCTATAAGAGTTCGAACAGGCCATGAGATCCTCCGCTTGTCTTCTTACCTGCAGCAGAGTATGAAGTCTGTGACTGTACCTTTCTTGGTCCTGCATGGGACTGCTGATAGGGTCACTGATCCACTGGCATCACAAGATCTGCACAATGTTGCTGCCTCGAGGCACAAGGATATAAAGCTCTATGAGGGCTTTTTACATGACCTTCTATTCGAGCCTGAGCGAGATGAAGTTGGCACAGACATAATCAATTGGATGCTGAGGATGCTGCAGCCTCAAAGCTTATGAATATACACAATTCTTCGATAACTGGCCAAAAGAATGCAGGGCTGACTTCGTATTAAATTACTTGTGTATATTTGATTTCCTTATTAATGAAGATGAGGAACCGAGGTTTGTCGTAGCCAATTCTACTCGAGATAAATCTCAAGTTGTAACAGTTGATCAGCATTTTGTAGCTGGATTGGTTTGTGTATAAACTATGTTGCTCGCTTGCTCATGATATGTTCGAGTCCACCGATGAAGTTCCGGTTTATGGGCCGGGTCAGGTTTTCCGCGCCTGTTAAGCCCAGAAAAGCCCAAAACAATACTTCCACGCCAAAGACCTTCAAGTAAATACAGCATTACTTGATGCACTTCTCATTCACTTTGATTCATCTTCCTAGAAGCAAATTTGAACTCATGAAATTATGGTATATGGATGGATGTATATCTACCTCCTGCTTTTTTCAAATGCGAAAGATCTGTTGCTGTTGTTGTCATTATTCTTCATCCTGCTGTGAGTTGATGGGATCATGATAGTTGTTCAATTGATTCAAAATGCTAAACCTAGTAGAGATTCAAATGCTGTTCTTCCGAGAGGGCTGTCAGAATTCTGATCACCTGTCAGTTTCCTCTCTGTAAAAGTTCCATGAGTGCCTCTGATTGTAGAATCGCATCACTTTCCTTCGGTAGCTTTTTCCCAGAAGCTCTCACGACATACACTATGGCACTCAATCGATTGATCCTTGGAAAGGTTACCTGTGAAAGGATAGGAGACTGCTGCCAATGTGACTCATACATGCATCGCTGAGAGCTTGCATGTCTTGTAGCCCATGTTGGCTGCACTGCCTTACATTTCTGCTTCGAGCTTTCATGTTATGTAGCCCATGTGTGAGTCCAAGTGATGATATTGTTTTGTCCTGTTTGCTTCGCCGGGAATCACATCCTGAGTTTACCAACCAGTGCGCAGGTGAAATCAGCAAGTCGAATGATCACTACGGACTTCTTTCCTGGTGATACTGTATACCGTAGATTGACGGTAAAACCAACGCGAGCTTCTTGGTTCCTGCTATAGCCTTCCTCATGGATAAGCATGCAGCGATACAGCGGATTCCCACAGTACAGATTAGCATTTAGATTGTCTTGTGAGTGGCGCATGAAGAAGGATCCATGGAGGAAAAGGTACACACCAAGTCGATGATCGTGCATGCTTCCTCTCAATTATTGGTAGCTCTTTCTCCATGAGTGATAGATTTCCCACATGCATCGCACGTATCAGTGGTCTCTCTGTCTCATAAGAAGACCTGGGCATGGGCACCAAAGAGTACTATCCATAGGATTATTGGAAGGAGGGAAGATGCCAAGTTGTATTAAAGAACACAATCCATGGAGCGTGGCTTGCCTTTTTGGGTGTAACTTTGAGCACTTTCTACTGCCACCATGAGGAACATGTTGCGAGCACCCACCCACTTGCTCACTGCTGTTCTCCACCCATCAACACACAATATCGATTCATTCCCTTGTTAAATCTGGAAGCAATCATGAGTCATTGATCTCAGTGACAAAGACCAAATGGAATATGAAGTCATCTACCGTTGGGAGAGTGAGTTAAGCTTCCATTACAACATAGTGCCGTGCCATGATTTGAAGGTTCGAGCAATGCCCCATGATTCAAGAGATATGCTTCGAAATGTTTCCTTGAGCTCCGGGCTTCGCCTACTTTGGCAAAAGAAAAAGGTGGGAGATGGGGACAAAGTGCTTCACTTGGCCACTAAGTTATGAGACCTCACCGACCACTTCTGTCTTCTTTTCCCCTCCAAAGTTAGATCAGCGTAATCATTAACATTACGATGTCGAGAAAAAGTAAAAGCTAGTCTGACTTATTCTTAGCCAATTAGCCTATATGTTTAACTTGAATGCCAAGCTAATGCTTTCTTCAAAGCGCAGTCCAATTGCCACTGAAACTATAAGCTGCCAATTACTGAACACAATGAAATCTATAATTAGCGATGGTGGAGTAAGATCTGGCCATGTACGCTTACTCACGTTTCTCACGCGTTTAAGACTGGGATTGCTCGTATGTTCCAGCCGTCAGGTTAGAATTGTCTCTCCAACTCTCTTCATATTCCTCTCTCAAGTTTTCCAATTAATTCCAATTAAAAGGGGAAAAAAGCGCAGCCTTTGGTGGCCCATTCTTCCCTTTACTTCCCCTTCATATACCCTCCCTTGGCTTCGCCTATCTCAGTCGTCAAGGCCAGAAACGGAAGCAAAGCCACTTCTCTCTTCCTCTCCACCAAGACTCCCTCGCAAGAAACGAAGGTACCCTAATGGATCCTTCCTTGGCCAAGCGGCTGTGGCACATGATAAGAGCTGCTTACTGCACGCTGCGTAAGGGCTTCTCCAAGCACAAGCTGGTGACGGACGTCCACTTCCTACTCGAGCGCAGCAAACTCGCCGGAAAAGCCATCGGGAATTTGGTCGCCTTCTACCACGACCACGAGCACCACCACCACATTGGCGCCCATGTCTCCTCGGCCTTCTCTTGCCGGTCCATGGACCCCAGCCTGTCCTTCTACAACCCTAAGGAGGTGGAGTTCAGCTGCAGCAACACCCCTTCCTACCCCTCCTTCCTCCTCGCCGCCAAGTGGAAGAACCGCCGCGGCCGCCGCCACGGCTGCTACAACCTCGACGCCGCGGCGATAGCAAAGCAGCTCGAAATGCTGCGCTCGGAGATATCTGACGCCGAGTCGTCGTCGATCATGGCATCTCCGTCGCCTGCGCCGATGTGGAGCTTCGGGAAGAGCCCGGCGGGGGTGCGGCAGTTGCGGATAACGGACTCGCCATTCCCGATAAGCGAGGAGGGCGGGGAAGCCGATGGTCACGTGGACCGGGAGGCGGAGGAGTTCATCAAGATGTTCTACGAGCAGCTTCGTCTCCAGCGGAGCCTCCCGGTGACGCCCGAGTATCAATGCCGCAAGCCGGCCTGAGATGGACCCCATGGAGCTTAGACGCTGTGTAAGTCTACCGAGGACGTGTCTACCATGGCTTCTTCGGAGCTTCCTTGCTGCTTTCAGTCTGCTTTGGTTGCCGACGGAGGAGCTGACGGTGCTGCTGTCCATGAAATATTATTATTTGCTGATTCTTGTGTTCTCAGTTACGGTCTTCACTTCCGTAGTAAATGTCTACTACCAATACACATGTTGTGATGTTATGTTTCTGTTCTTTACATACTGTATCTCGCTGCATGAGTGATTCCCCTTCTGATCTCTGACAATAATTTCCAAACATTGGTCTACGGGTGTCAAGCATAGAGGAAGAAGAAGAAGTGCGCATGAGACACATGCTCCGACAACACGCAATTCCAAAGCTGGCATGCGGGTGAAGGCCGATGCCTTGGTCACGCATTCTAATTCCATGCCCACACGTCTCTCTGCTTTTGATGGCCACGCCAAGCAACTTTCACGTCCTTCCTCAGGTAAGTGGAAGGCCAACTATGTCACAATCGAATTCAATCAACAGATATTACGTGCCACAGCCAGTGGGCTTGTGAATGCATGCATCATATTCCACGTACCAGTGACTCGTAAAGTTCCGTCAACATCACCCACGGCAAAGACCTACCACCAACCAATGGGTTGTCGGGCATGCACACCGCGCTTGCAGTCAATAGAGGGATGGCTCCGAGGGTATGTGAACTTTTACGACTCCACTTATGTGAAATGGTTGAACGATCGAATGGCGTTGGCCGTGGAAAAGAAGGGTTGCAGCAGACAGTGACCTGAACAAAGAGCTGCTTGAAAATTTGGTGGGCCGGTGGATTATTGGGAGACGTCTCTCTCATGCACTTCAAGAAAAGGTCACAGCTCTTTCCTTCTTCCAATCTCGTAAGCATGAGCACACACTGACCTCCATATAAATGTGTTGGTAGACTTTCGTGATGCCTACCTACTGGGTTTTTCTCATCACTTTCTCTCGCAAGCTCAACGAAACGAGGTGACGGAATATAAACAAGGATAATCTTTGTATATGAATAAATACTAGAAGATCATAATATGTAACGGAATTAAATAGAACAACAATCAAATATAATACCAAGATATACGTGGAAAACTCCTTCAATGTGAAGGATAAAAATCACGGGGCAAACTAGAGATAATCCACTGTGAGAATAATGAATATACAAGTCTCAATCTCTTTCCCTAAACCCTAACAACAATCACAAGAGAATAACTGGGATATAAGGATCACGTCACTGCTTACAATATCTAAAACCTCCCCAAGTAATCGCAACAAGAATCTACTATAGATTTGATCTAACCTGAGATGAGAACACTGCTAGATGATTGATAACAACCTCTCTGCGTTGTCCTTGTCTTCTTTCCTTTCTTTCCCTTCCTTTTCTGCCTTGTTTTCCATCTTTTCTTTAGAATCCCATGGCTATTACCTTCTCCCACGTTGCTGTCCTATTTATGCTTTTTTCTGCCTCCAAAACACAGCCACTACACCCCCCCTAATGTTAATTAGGGTTAGGTTAAGAGGGGGTGAGCTGTGGGCCGCCCAAGCCCATTATGGGTTGAATTTGTGGGCTGTCAACCCAACAACCTTCCCCTTCAGCCCATAAGGGAGGCTGTCCCATGACTCCTCAATGTGAAGCCATGTCGACCAGCTGTCGGCATATCTCATGTCTTTCTTTTGGTAAAGTTTTTGTCAATATGTCTGCTCCGTTGTCATCAGTGTGAATTTTCTGAAGCTACAACTACTTCTCTTCAAATACATTTCGAATCCAGTGGTATCTGACATCTATATGCTTTCACTTAGAATAAAACATTGGGTTCTTACACAAATGGATGACACTCTGGCTGTCACAATGCACCACATAATTTTCTTGTTTCAGCCCCAATTCTTGTAAGAATTCTTTTATCCATAACATTTCTTTGCATACTTCTGTACCAGTAATATATTCTGCTTCTGTGGTGGAGAGTGCAAAAGTAAGTACATAACCTGAAGTAGACTTTCTCATATCTATATCTCTTGCCATATCTGCATCTGTGTAACCTGTCAACACATATGGTCCACCTCCAAAGATTAAACAAACCTTAGAGCTCCCTTTGAGATATCTAAAAATCCACTTCACTGATGCCTAGTGCTCTTTGCTTGGATTTGCAAGAAATCTGCTAGTAACACCAACTGCATATACGATGTCTAGCCTCGTACGTACCATTGCATACATTAAACTTCCAACTATTGAAGCATAATGAACCTTTTGCATTTTCTCCTTCTCCTCATCACTTGATGGACTCTGTTCTGAGCACAACTTGAAGTGACCTGCAAGAGGAGAACCAACTGGTTTTGCATTGCTCATACTGAATCTTTCCAATATCTTCTCAATGTATTTCTCCTGTGATAACCAAATCTTCTTATTTTTCCTGTCATGGAAAATCTGCATACATAGTATTTGCTTTGCTGGCCCCATGTCCTTCATTGCAAAAGACTCACTCGGTTCCTTCTTTAATCTGTCAATTTTAGACATATCTTTTCTAAGAATAAGCATGTCATCAACATAAAGTAAGAGAATAATAAAATCCTCACCAAACCATTTGATGTACACACAATGATCTGAAGCCATTCTTTTGTATCCATTTTTTATCATAAATGAATCAAACTTTCTGTACCACTGTCTTGGAGCTTGCTTTAGCCCATACAAGCTCTTCTTCAATTTGTAGACAAAGTTCTCTTTACCTTTGACTTTGAAGCCTTCTCGTTGCTCCATATAAATTTCCCCCTCCAAATCCCCATGAAGGAAAGTTGTCTTCACATCTAACTGCTCAACCTCCAAGTCCTGGCTAACAGCAATACCAAGAGCAACACGAATAGAAGACATTTTAACAACAGGAGAAAAAATTTCTTCAAAGTCAATACCTTTCTTTTGACTAAAGTCTTTCACAACCAATTTAGCTTTGTACTTTGGTTGAGAACAATATTCTTGAGTCTTCAACCTGAAAACTCACTTGTTCTTCAAGGCCTTCATTCCATTTGGTAGTAGCACCAAATCATAAGTATGGTTCTTCTGAAGAGCATTCATCTCTTCCTGCATAACAACTAACCACTTCTCTTTCTACTCACTTTCAATTGCTTCCTGGTAATTCTCTGGTTCACCTACATCAGTAAACATCAAATACTCATATGTAGAGTATCTTCTGGAAGATTGACGTTGTCTAGAAGATCTTCTCAACTGAGGTTCTGCGGGAACTTGCTCTCCTATTTCTTCTTGCTTAACGTGTCCTGCAAGTATATCAACATCAGGCTCTAAACTATCTTCCTGCACATCTCCCCCATCACCCTGATATACTGGAGGAATAACTGGGTCACAATCTGCTAATCCTTCTGCAGAAGTATTGGCTGGTGCCTTCTTCTTCAAATCTTCAAAAGTTTGATCCTCAAAGAAGACTACATCTCTGCTTCTAAACACCTTCTGTTTTTCTGGATCCCAAAGCCTATAACCAAAATGATCATATGAGTAGCCAAGAAAAATACATTGTTTAGATTTACCATCCAGCTTGGACCTCTCATTGTCTGGAATATGTGCAAATGCACGACAACCAAACACTCTCAAATGCTTGTAGGAAACATCTTTCTCTGACCATACATGCTATGCAACATTACCATCTAGGGCTGTACATGGTGATAAGTTGATCATATCAATTACAGTCCTCAAAGCGTCATCCCAAAATCTTTTGGGTAGCTTGGCCTGTGAAAGCATACATCTGATTTTTTCCATGATGGTGTGGTTCATCCTCTTTGCAATTGCATTATGCTGAGGTGTACTAGGAACTGTCATCTCATGTTGGATCTCATATGACCTGCAATAGTCATTAAACAATCACGTATACTCACCACCATTATCTGATCTTATGCATTTCAATTTCCTTTCTGTCTCCCTTTCAACCCTGGCATGAAACTCTTTGAAGACATTAATCACCTGATCTTTAGTCTTCAAAGTATAGGCCTAAACTTTCCTGAAAAAATCATATATAAAAGTGACAAAATAAAGTGCACAACTTATACCAAAAACATCAACAGACCCACCATGAGTTTTTGTCCTCAAAGGACCACATACATCTATATAAACACAGTCTAAGGCATGCATTTTTCTAGACAAAGTAAGACTAGCAAATGAAACACTATGTTGTTTACCTGCCAAACAATCAACACAAGGGTTCATATTTATACCTCTAAGGTCTGGTAATACCTCTCTCTTGGAAAGAGCTTGCAGCCCCTTCTCGCTCATGTGTCCCAGTCGCCTATGCCACAACTCCATGCTGAAGTCTTTTTCTGTAGCATTTAACCGCTCACCATAAGTTTAGCTTGTAACATGTACAAAGTATGACATTTCTTTCCATTAGCTATAACAAGAGAACCCTTACTAAGCTTCCATTGCCCTTTGTGAAATCTGCTATCATAGTCTTCATTATCTAGCCTTCCAACTGAAATTAGATTCAGCCTCAAGTCAACCACATGTCTCACATCCTTAAGCACCAACTTGTAGCCAAGGTTGGTCTTTAAATGGATATCACCTATACCTATGATGTCTGCTGTGTCATAGTTGCCCATCTTGATAAGACCAAAATTTCTAAACTTTATGTAGCAAAAAATTCCCTCCGTGGTATAGCATGATAAGAAGCACCTGTGTCAATCACCCACTCAAGATCCTGACACACACAAGAAAAAATATCATCAGAAAGAGACAAAATCAAATAATCACCACCCTGCATTGTAATTGTGATATTATATTTTGACTCTATAGACTCCACTTCGTTTCTTTTTTTTTGCTCTTCTTAGGTTGCTTACATTGGTTCTTGTAATGTCCTTTCTCACCACAATTATAGCAAACAATATCTTTTCTTGATCTTGACTTGCTTCTACCCATGCGTGAACTGCTTCTAGACTTTGACCTTCCTCTGTTCTTTGAGATAAGTGCATGTGAATCATTCTGAGATGTTGCCGAACTCTTTCTTCTCAACTCCTCATTCAACAAACTGTTTGTTACTTGACTTATAGTGATAACACCATCTGGCGCAGAATTACTAAGGGAAACCACTAGTGTCTCCCAACTTTCTGGTAATAAACTGAGAAGTAACAATGCCTGCAACTCATCATCAAGAGATATTTTCATAGAGGATAACTGGTTAGTAATACTTTACATTTCATTCAAATGTTCAACGATAGAAGCACCCTCTCTATATTTTAGGTTCATAAGTTTTCTGATCAAAAATGCTTTGTTGCCAACTTTTTTTCTTTCATAGAGACTTTCCAACTTTTTCCAAAGAGAATATGCAGAAATTTCAGTAGAAACATGGTGAAAGACACTATCATCAAGCCATTGTCGAATAAATCCAATTGTTTTTCGATCTAACCTCTTTCACTCATCATCTGTCATAATTATGAGTTTTGCACTATCCCCTACAAAGGTCCATACAAATCTTTGCAATACAAGAGATCTTCCATTCTTGGTTTCCATATCATCCAATTGTTTCTATTTAAACTAATCATGATACACAAGGAATTAAATGGAACCACAATCAAATAGAACACCAAGATATACGTGAAAAACCCCTTCAATGCGAAGGGTAAAAACCACGGGGCAAACTAGAGATAATCCACTATGAGAATAATACATATACAAATCTCAATCTCTTGCCCTAAACCCTAGCAACAATCATAAGAGAATAACTGGGATACAAGGATCACGTCACCGCCTACAATATCTAAAACCTCTCTAAGTAATCACAGCAAGAGTCTACTGTAGATTTGATCTAACCTGAGATGAGAACATTGCTAGATGATTGAGAACAGCCTCTCTACGTTATCATTATCTTCTTCCATTTCTTTTTCTTCCATTTCTGCCTTGTTTTCCTCCTTTTCTTTGGAATCCTGTGGCTATTACCTTCTCTCACGTTGCTGCCCTATTTATGTCTTTTTCTGTCTCTAAAATGCAGCCACCATACCCCCCGATGTTAATTAGAGTTAGGTTAAGAGGAATGAGCTATGGGCTACCCAAACCCACTATGAACTGAATTTATAGGCTGATAGCCCAACATGAGGTCCTCCTGGAGCCATTCTTTTCCTTGGGACTAGCTTTATCGTAGAAGAGGGAAGAAATAACTCATACGCATTTATCATGTTGTTGCAAGTCAAATCAGCATTGCTTAGCAGTCTTCATCTGAAGGAATGCAGCAATACGCCTCAAATAGTTGGTCGATAGACCGTTGGGGCTTAAATGATCGGCCCAGATAGACTAAACTGGTCAGTCAAACAGGTTTTGACTTTTCATTTTAGAATCTGAAATCAGAAATAGACCCAAATTTTAATTCGATTTGAAATCGATAAACTATCAATTCCGATTCTCTGATTCATCCACTTCCATTGATTATATGGAATCATAATAAATTAAGAATCGAACCACTCAAGATTAGTTCTAATTCGATTTGAAACCCAATCAACCATCAAATTCTTATTTCGATTCCAATTAATTAATGAGGTGGATCCCACATTAACTAATTAGATCGACCGTGTGGTGGATACCAAACCCACACGGCACACAAGTCGAGTGTGTCGTAGGTTAGTTTGGTAGGCTAAGAAACGTGGCATCTCCAACCAACAAACACCTTTAGAACCAGTAACCATCGTATCGAACGTAAATGGAGCTCAACGAGATTGGCGGATCATGCTTTTATCCTTATGCATGGTTTACGACCGCCCATGTGGATCCAAGAATGTAACATATCATTAGTGTAAGAAGAGGACGGGGATGGATAATATGAAGGAGCACAGGATTTAGGGGCCGCAAAAGTCCTTAGCGCGCATCACAACAGATGAGAGAGGTCTGTCTCTCCACTGGCCCTACCACCATGGTCGTCGACAGCCAAAAGCACCATTCGCGGAAAGCTTTTAGGGGAAAGGGAAGCGACATGGCGAGATAACAACGTTGTCTCATAACCCTAGCGGAGAAGACAAGAATCAGAGATCAAGAACGCCGGAGAGTCGTCGGCCACGGGCTTCTTGTTATCGACGATGGAGGGTCGGCGACCGACGGCGACGCCGTGCTGCAGCAAGGTGGGGATGAAGCGAGGGCCCTGGACGGCGGATGAGGACGAGGTTCTGGCGAGCTTCGTGCGGCGGGAGGGAGAGGGGCGCTGGCGGACGCTGCCGAAGCGTGCCGGGCTGCTCCGTTGCGGCAAGAGTTGCCGTCTCCGCTGGCTGAATTACCTCCGCCCTTCCATCAAGCGCGGGCCCATCGCCCCCGACGAGGAAGATCTCATCCTTCGCCTCCACCGCCTCCTCGGCAACAGGTGCGTAACTGCACCTCCATCCTCTCTCTCTCTCTCTCTATCTATCTATCTATCTATCTATCTATCTATCTCTTAGGGTTTCAGCTTTCTCAGGGTTCCTCTTCTTTCTCCCCCTGAAACAAACAGGTGGGCGCTGATAGCTGGGAGGATACCAGGGCGCACCGACAACGAGATCAAGAACTACTGGAACACCCACCTCACAAAGAAGCTCATCAAGCAAGGCATAGATCCACGCACCCACAAGCCCTTACCCTCTTCCACCGATCACGGTTCCCCAGCGCAACTCGTCTCATGCCATCCTGCCACAGACCGCGACTCCATGCCTCAAGAAATGGGTGCTGGCAGCAGCGAAGCCATCGCCATTCGAAACGATCGTTGCGGTTACTTCCATGGCCTGGACCCGCACCACGACGACGTCGCCTGGCAGAACTGCAATGTCTTCACGACGGACGGAGACCAAATGCCTGCTTGCTACGGCGTCGAGGACGGAGGGAAAGGAACGGATGCTTGCACTGATGATGTCTTCTCGGCTCTCTTCGATTCCTTCGTCAACGAGGACATGTTCAACACTAATTGCAGTCAAGATGGTAATACCAACGAGGACGACAACAACATGACTCCGCAGGTTGAGATGATAGATCCTATGGATTCAGGTCTCGACCTCGAAGGTCTATTGGAAGATGTCTTCACTACTCCGGTTGATTTGGATGAAGGCATTCCTGCACAGTGTAAAGATCATGCAGGCAAGTAAACCATGTTCTTCGTTCAAATCTTTCATTTAAGGTGTGCATTATGCTCAGAGAACTGTGTGTCTTAAATCCGTCACTTGGAAACGAGATGGTGTGATCCTTGGACGACCTTTTCTGCAAGTTCTATTCACAGTATCATCGAGTTCTGCAAGATCACCAACGCTACGCTGTACTTCTCGATGACATTGTTACGCTGAAAACCTGCTAAAATTGTCATAAATTGTGATTGTTTGATTTCAACATTACCAGTGATCTCATGGTTGCATTCAGGGCAAAATGGCCATGCGATTCGTTTGGATTTCTTGAGTTTATGATTTTTGTCTTGACAAGCGAGAGCAAGAACCTCTCTTAGGTTTTTACACCACTGCGTTCCCACAGAAATCTTAGGCAAGGATATATATATATGTATGCATGAGTTAGCAACATGTTAAGAGTAACCACAACAAAAACAAGAGTTTTCTAGCCAACACAGCTTTAAGTATATATACCACAAAACATAGTCCAAATGTGCCGATGGATGAAAAAGATCAGCATCACGAAGAAGAAGCAATATATATAAAGCTCAGTGATTTCACACTATGACTTATTTTATAGTTACGTTAATGAGTTTGATAGGATAATTAACTTATTAACTTTTTTGAGTATTAATCGTTGATTCAAAATATTTAAATCTAAAGTAATAATATTATATATAAAACTCAATATTAGATTTTGAATGTAAGACTAAAATTGGGTATTACAACGACCCCTACAAGTCAAGTGTGTCGTTTATAGTATGTAAAATCTATGTTTGTAATTTAAATTATATATTAAGTATTTATTAAAATATTTATTTATGGGATTCTAAGTTAAATGCTTCTTCTAATTCATCTTCTCTTATACATATTCTTAGTTGACCTACTGCACAACTAAGACAAAACTAATTAAGCCTATGATAGATGATATCAAAATTTTGATTTAACTATTGTTAAATTTTAATCATACATGCATATTCTATATCATCCATTAGCCAAAGTCAAGAGTGTGGTGCCTAAATATGGCCATACATAGAGTGCGCATTAGCTATACCAATGAAAACTAAGCTATCTTAGTTTTCTTCTCTGATCACATTTTAAGCTATTCAGGAAGTCGAAGTGCATCACAACAAGGCACAAAAATTCGACAATGGACATAATATATGATGAGAGGAAGGTGAAAGTACGTCACATGTACAATACGATCCGCTTCCGAGCACTGGACCGGTTGCTGGAAAGCGAAATGTTGCATCTGCAGAATTCTAAGTTCTATTGCAAGTCTATTCCTGGAAGAAGACTGTTAGTTTAGATCTGACTGGAAGTTGGCTAAGCCATCAGTCATGTCACGGATGTGGAATGGAAGAGTAGCTCGGTACTCCATTGGCAGCAGATCACCATGAAAATTCCCAAGCAAAAATGGTTTATAAAAAGCTTTTAAGCAATAAATATTCCGAGTTCCTGCTAGCTGTATAGCTACTGTACAGAGAGGATTAATACCTTCACTACAATCTCATGAATAATAATAATAATGTTTTTTCTTTTATTTTTGAGAACTAAAATCAATGCCTGAACGAGTGACAAAACAATGAGAAAGTCCACACTCTTTTTCAGGCTTTGAAACACACTAGAATTCTATCTAAGCACTTGAATGATGGTCTATACTGAAACCATGGAGATTACTGATTTCTTTGTGTGTGATCAAGTGCAGCAAGAACGCCGAAAAAGAGTTGCGAGCTGTACTTACCTACCGGAAGTATAACACCGCAAACAAGATCGTGGTGAAGCAGACGCATAGCATCACTACTGAATCGAACTTAACTTCCGGGCACTGCAGCTTAGCTCAACTTCTACGGCGCAGAAAGCTTCAGAGACCCAAAGGCGGGTTTTGTCTTTGCTGGAGGATGATGCGAGACGACCTCGATCCTTTGCCCCACCGGAGGAGAACGGTGAGAAGATGGAAGGATGCATGCGTCACGCGAGAGGATCGATCTCCTTCTGATAGCTGGTGCATTGTGCGCGTGAGTGTGTGTTATGGCTGATGGTCGTTGGACCGGGGAAAGAGAGATGCAACTGCCAACCGGACGTTCCAAACCACAGTGTGGCACGCTGGGGGCGGTCGGTAGAACAACCTTTCTGAGTCCCGACAACAAATGCTCACGTGAAAACCTTCTCTGGCTTCTCATCTTTCTAATAATTGATGACCGCCGACCGTATCCAAGCATTTGGTTTGTTGTAGGAGAAAGCTTCGGATGAGAGGGCAATGCCTGATCTGCCAAGTTGTCCAGCTCGAGTTGGCTGATGGAGTGGGACCCACAGGCAGATGGAGTCAACTAGTTGACCCAACAGTGCCTGCTGAAGCTTACACGACACTTGCAAGGACAACTAAGAATGGAGTTTAGATCATCAAAAGACGCGCAAAGCTAGCAGTTCATGCTTTGTGCTTCTGAAGGATCATCACCAGATCCTGTTAACACCACATGTAATCAATGAAGGGAAGCATTTTATTGAGATTAAGAAGATATAACTGTCATGGCAGCATCCATTTCCATCCACCACAACTATTTCTACCAAAGATTATTGATGATTGCCCGGTGAACAGAAGGGGCTAAAAACACTTCAGACAACAACATCAAAAGAAACAATGATCCCGGAGAGTGTAACTATTGGACCTAACTGTGACTACTACAAAAACAAGTTATTGCTGTTTTGCCAATTCAACGGTAACAGCGGTATGCCGGGGTGTACATGCAACTCTCTGCATATTTCACCAGGTTTTCTGGGCGAGGAAGACGAGTGGCCAATCCTACAAAAAGAAGAGGTGGTAAATTGATTGAATAAGGATGCATGCAACAATTTTGTAGAGTCATTAGGTTGAGGGAAAGGACCAACCAAGTTCGTATACTTTGGCGGCCACGCTAGCAGCAATATGTGCAGATATCTTTCTGATACTTTTGAAGGGAGGATAGATCAATCCCTTGTCAAAATTCTCCTGCGTCACCTGTTGGGCTAAAGCTTCCGCTGTTCCAACACGATGCAAATCCTCGAAATAAGGCAACGTGGGGTGAAAATTTTAATGGAAAAAAGACTGAGCAGAATATTTCTAATCCTTTAATTCTTTCTTGCAATAATTATCTAGACTTGCTAAATTATCCCATACAAAACTAACTAACTAAAAGATATCTGAAATAGCCATATCTAACACCAACTGTCTACTTCCTAATGCTGTCGTAGATCGATACTTCATAATATCAAACTGTCTTTTAGAATGCTACTTGGTTGACGCTTATATGCTTTGCAGTTGTTGCAACTGGAGCATCAAAACCTATTATATAAATCCACAAACATTCCAGGACAAATGCAGAATCTACATTTCACTTGGCTTCTACTTACAGGCTGCAAGAAGCATTTCATCGTGCACACGTATGGCTCCAGATATCACCAAGCCAAGACCAAGACCAGGAAAAATGTAAGCATTATTTGCCTGAAAATATACCAAATGAAAGGCAGTTTTTAAGCACTATATTCTAAACAAAACAGTAGTCAGTTTAGTGATCCTAAAAATCATCGCAATGATAAGGGACGGCGATGTTCGAACCTGACCAGGTACAAAAGTCTTCCCTTCATATTCAACAGGATCAAATGGGCTCCCACTGGCAAAGATTGCACGACCCTACAAATTGAAGATTATTTTATGAATGCAAGCCTTTCTTCTCTGATCCATATTGTCACAAAATCTGGATAAGTTGAAACTCGAGCAGGTAGTAGGAGAGACATAATTCAGGTTCTCACCTTAGTCCAAGTGTAAGCTTCCTCAGCAGTACATTCAGATTGCGATGTTGGATTTGACAGAGCAAGAATGACAGGTTTCTGCAATTTGGAATGTGATAGTACAAGTTTTTCATCCTTCAATCTAGCAAGAAGGATAACTTAAAAATGAATTGTTATGGAGAACACGTACCTCATTAAATGAAGCCATGGTCTCAACTACGTCTTGCGTAAAAGTCTTCCCTACTCCAGAGGTTCCTATTAATACAGATGGCTTGATGACCTAGGAGAAACCAAAAAACATTCACCTCATTAACATTCAGTGGGTAGAAAGCAATCTTCACGCAGGAAGGAGGGTAAGCAAGAATTAAAACAAAAAGAGGTCCTTTGTGACATCAGTAGGGAAATAGCTTCATCAAATTAAATGCAAAAGACAGTAAGTTCCTATATTGGCAAGTGATCTTATCTTGTCTAGCAATCTAGTAACATACATGGTGGAATGTAGATCTATGACTCCTGGTGTATACTAGGTGAGCTAACGAATCCTAGATCCTAATTTAACTTCAACGAGATAGACCACCCCAGTATACCCTGCATAAGAATATACTACTACCACAGCCTAATTAAAATAATAATAACAAAAGTAATAATTGGATGCTTAAAAGAACAAAGGGGAAAAGGCCCCATTGCAAAACAATTTTGAGAGATTTCACACCTGGACAGCATCTAGAAGGTTGTTAACAGGTTCATGGTCATGCGCCCAAGGTTTCTTGAAGTGTTGTAAAGATTCTAACCTGGAGCTGACAATCAATCCCTGCATGATTAAAGAGCATAGCAAGGTGACATGAATCTGTGATGATAAACAAAATATGACAAATTAATAATTGACATATGGTTCAACAGCGAATGATTTACTCATGTGCTTCTCTACCTTAGAATCAACAAGCCAAATCTTTTCACGATTCTGTTCGATCGGAGTACCTGTCTAAAATAATTATCAAAACAATGATCAACGTCATCAGAAAAGGATACAATGCAATTTCAAGAGCAGAAAGTAATTAAAGAAACTGTCTGTTTAAATCAGTGCACCTGTCTTGACATCTCCAGTGCAATGAGCTCTGCAATACCAGTACCAGCCTGTCAAACCATAATTAGTTGATGTCAGAAAGTGGCCCAAAAATGGAGGAAAGCTGACGTAGACGAAGTTGGGATAGAAGAGTATCAGAGGAGGTCTTCAACTTGAAGAACCAGATAGGTGCACATCAACCTCCATGTTGTTAATCATCATTTCTTTATGAAGTCAAAACCCATCAGAACCCAAAACAGAACCCAAAACCCATCAGAACCCAAAACCAACAATTTGCATATAATTGATTTAGAGGACAAATTAACCATACAGATCCAACGTTGCATGAAAGAGTTCAATTTGCTTTCTGCAAATAGTTTGCCTGTACTCTTTCTCACTAAAAAATAAAGCATGCATATTTGTGCAATGATGATGCAGTCCATTAAGACATACTCAAAGACAAACAAATGTTGATTTCAAAACATGGTACCTTTCTCACAAATGTATTGTTGATGTGTAGTGGATCAAGTTTTATGATCTGAGAAATTCTTATAGGTGCAGAAATAAAACCATTACACTAGTAGTGACGAATTAATTAACTACCTCACCAGCACCAAGGAACAAGTATGTGTGGTCTGCTAAGGTTCCTCCAACCAATTTCAGTACTGCAACAAGTCCAGCAAGGACCACAGAAGCTGTTCCCTGCAGCGAATGCAAATTATCAACTTAAAGCATCAAAGTTTTACAACTAACTTATGTGCAAATAATATACTATATAAAGAACAAAAAACTGATGCATAATGTTAATTGCTTTACCTGGATGTCATCATTAAAGACAAGATGTGTTTTGCTATATCTTGTAAGCAAATCAAATGCATTATGATTGGCAAAGTCTTCAAACTGGAAAGAAGAAGTAGAATGTACATATATTGTTAAATACTATAGGAAACAAATCCAACCATATGCAACATTAATAGGCTTCAATATTTCACAGACCTGAACTAGGACCTTCTCGCCATATTGTTGCTTAACAGCACACATGAACTCATGGAGAAGGTCATCATATTCCTAACACAGCACATGCATACCATAAAATTCAGCATTAAGCAGTACATTATCTGTAAAAGTTTAACATACTTAAAATAAAAAATAAATTACCTGGCCTCTAGCTCGCCTTTGTCTTAGGCCGATATAGAACTCATCATTGAGCAACTGCTCATTGTTCGTTCCAACGTCAATTGTTATTGGTAAGCACTATATATGGAAGAGTGTTCATTAAAACTCTTCAACACTTTCAACTACAATATATATAGTAGCACATATAATTATGTATACGACATGTATCTCACTATTAAAAGACAAAATGATGAACGCATGACTAGATCCCAGAAAAAAGATGAATGCAAATAGCATTTGTAGTAAAAATGCTTACCGCTGATGGACGAAGTCCTCCAAGGGCTGTATAGAGAGCAAGTTTACCAACTGGAATTCCCATTCCCTAAGCCAAGGACAGTTAACAGCAATCATTAAAAGGCAGAAACAAAGGGCAACTCCATCGCTCTAAAACATCTTATGACCTTTAATACCTGGCAACCAAGATCTCCTAGCCCCAAAATGCGCTCACCATCTGTCACCACAATAACTTGAACGCTCCACACAGGCCAGTTCTTCAGCACCTCAAGAATTTTCCCCCTGACAGAGCCAATAATTCTCGAGTCTAAGTAAATGATAATAGTAAACACTGAAAAAGTCAAGTAACATACTTCTCTTTCAAACTGATATATAGACCCTGCGGACGTCTAAAGATGCTACCATACTTCTGGCAAGCCTCACCGACGGTAGGTGTATAGACAACTGGAAGCAACTCCTCCACATTGTCGATCAGAAGCTTGAAGAAAAGCCTTTCATTTCTCTCCTGAAGAACCACCAAGTAGAAACATTTGACACAATTGTTGTTGTCTGCGCTACTACATTTCTGCAAATTATGGGAACTCAGAATGAAAAGATGTGGAGAAGATGGTATAATGATTTACCTGAAGGTCGACCATCGCCACATAGCGCTGCAAGGGAACTTTGTATTGGCGAAGACTGCTCATCAGCTTTCTCTCCTGTGCAACAGTGACGAATGTAACAAGAAACAGAATTAGCTCATTAGAGAATGAGCAAACATGCTTCACGGCAGAGATGAACACTGACCTGAAGCTCTTGACTTACGACAATCGGAGGCAATAGGCCTCGCAAGTAGTGAGCATCTCTCTCTTTCTCGGTGAAGGCAAGCCCTTTGTTGTGGTGCGGATCTCTTAGTAGATTATACCCACTGAACATCAAGAAGGATCATCAAAGTCAGATACAATGTTAGCTGAAGAAATTTACCACAAGGAGAAGAAAATATTAGCTTTTATTGGTGAGGACCACTCTTCAAAAGTAATGAATCGTCAATCTTTTGGAGGAGATGTGTTCCGTCCTTTCTTTTTTTGTGTGTGTGTTTCGATTAGATTCAATACATGTTTTTTAATCAGGGTGTGCATCAAAGTTAATCAACATGGCACATGATCAGATCACCCAGAACAACTCCTGCCAGCAATCGCCATTCACATTACATTTCATTCATTTGCAGAGCACCAACAAGTGGTTTATATAGCAGGAACGCGAAAAGCGCTTCTAGGTCAGAAAATTAATGAAATGAAGGAGAAAGAGTGAGTGCATCGACAAAATAACTCGGAATGCCAAGTTATCCAGAAATCAAGCAAAAATATGTCATTTTGAAGCGGGGAAACCAAAAGCAACAGATGTCAGTTTAAGAGCGTAAGCGAAAGAAGAGATGCAAAGGCGATGGGATCGGACCTGGCGACAGAGAAGGTCCAAGGGGTGACGAGCTGCTCCTCGGTGGCGCGATCCTCGCCGTAGGCGTCCTCGACTCCACCCCCCACCGTCGCCTTGGGGTCCATGTACGCCTCCACCTCTCGTGAGTTGTCCATCACCGCCTTCCCCTTTTCTCGCCCTCCTCTCGCTACAACTCCCCTTCTTCTCCCTCCGCACTGCACTCCCGCCGCTGCCGCTCTCCTCTGCGATCGACACAACCTGTAGTAGTAAAGCGACTAACGATAAATATTATAGTTCTTCTTCTTCTGAAGCAATGCAACAAACACCTCCCAAACAACTCCTTTTATACCCAACCACAGCGAAAAGAAGAGGATTCTACGTGTGAATCATAACAACGCATTGGAGCTAAACCAGATCATGGGAACAAATGAGCAAGGAAAGATTCAGAGCAATTGAACCGGTTCAGTTTACGCGCCAGAGCCACCCACGCGGCCACACACAAAGGTGCAGTGCGCTATAAAACCGGCAACAGCTGAATCAAGCCACAGGAAACAGTTAAAGCCGGCGTGGAAGCGGCAGAAGAGGAAGAGGGATTTTACCAGAAACTTGGAGCTTCTGCTGCTGAAAAGGGAAAGCATGGTGGGATGTAGTGGCTGTGATGGAAAAACGGAGGGTGGACTACTTCTTTCTCAAGTTTTCCTCTTCTCCCCGCGGAGCGAGTTCGGCGCGAGGAAGAGAAGGAGGAGATTCTGGGTTAAAGAGGAGATGACACGTGTCGTTCTGTATGGGTCATTAGTTTAATTTTTTTATACATACCTATATATATATATATATATATATATATATATATATATATATTACTATCTCTGAATGCTATTTCATCCTATATCACTATCCCTTATTTGTTTTCTTTCTCTTTTTTTCTCAAAAGCCCATGTTTATTTGTAGATGGAATCATTTAATACTTTTTTTTACTAGTGATTTATGTGCCCTTTTAACCTTACTAATATCATTAAAACCTTTCCAATATAAAACTCTTTTACGAGGTTTATTGTATAAACACATATCATATTATACTAGGTGATATCAATTATCTGACCTTGTATCAAGTGATACGGGATCTGTACCAAACGATAATGGTTGAAATCGATTGCTATCGACTTGTACCAGATCATTACTAATGAAGAGTTAAGATTATCCTATTTTAAATGGTCAATTTGACCATTTAAGACTTATAAAAGAGTTTTTAAATTATTTCCTCTTCCCTCTTTTAACTCATTTCAGTCTCTCAATCTTTTAAACTCCCTTATGCTCTTTTTCATAAGAATGGGCTAATCCTTCTTGCTGTCCACATGTCCCAAATAGGGGTTGTTGACTGAGGAGAAGAATGAGAGATGAGTATAGGAGGTGGCAACGAAAATGGGTCTAGCCTATAACTTTTTTGTTCCATCGTATTTATAGAGGCTCATTGTCAATTTAACCCTAATGGATCTTGTCTTACTAGACTTGATCTTCATCCAACTATCTAAGCAACTTAGATCAGTGTGTCTTTACCCAATAATCAGTCATTGGCTCTTATTGGATCTCATCCATAAGATCCAATAATTCAAGAGCTTATTAGATATCCAATAAGATAGTGGCTCTAGTAGACATCTTATCTCCAAACTTCTACTCGTTGCAACACCTACCAAATGTGTGTGACCCTCTAGGCCCAATATCGAGCTGGTTGTAAGTCATACATGTTAGAACTCCTTCTAGCTTAGTAAATTATTATCTCCATAATAATTCACTCGTCTCATCGACTATGGACATACTAGGCCACTACGCCGCAGTCCCCAAACGATACAAGGGAATCCAATCCATTGGAGATATCTTTTCTCAATTACTGTGTATATAGTCTCTCGTCCATCTAATATCTCAAAGATCGTATTCTAGACATGGTGATGTTAGGTTCATCTGGTTTCTACTCGAGCCTCGCTCTAATCAGATTCTCCCAAAGAACTTTTTCTCTCTCAATCTAAATAACCCTAGCCAGGGATTTGCTTGAGCAAGAATACATGAGATATTCCTCTCATGACATCGAGAGAGGATGATCCTCTATCAATACTCAATAACCCTCGTAATGTCGGTTGCCACTCATAATGATCAGTTGTGTTAGATCTAAAACTTCTAAGTCTATAAGTCTAGTATCAAAGAGTGGAGTACTCATACAGAACATCTTTGATGTCTCAAATCTAAGGATCAAATACACTACTAAGACGATAAAATTACTGTATAACAATGAGGTATCATCAACCATTCAACATTTTATGAGCAGATCAATAAGTGAACTCATTTTTAAATGAGTAATCGTGTGGTATTCCTAGTGTCCCCACATGAGCAACTACGAGACCAACTACCTCCATCATATGGATGGGTATACAGTACACCAGTTTATCCGATCATCTTGATATTCCTCTTGAGTAACTTATGCATGAAATTATTTAGAGTCTGTATTTAAAAGCGAATTGGTCTCATTATCGTAATCTCATCACGATCCGATTCCTATTGCACAGATCTATGGACATCATAATACATACAATAGGTAATATAAAGTAAGAAAAATATCAAATAAATAATAAGAAAAAAAAAGTGCATATTATGTCACACATATCATCACTCACGTGATTGGCTTATAAGGCACCTATGATTAGCATAGGCGTAGGGCAAAATGAGCCCAAGGCGTTTGAGTCAAGAAATCTAACCCACATTAAGATAAATTTACTATGACAAAAGCGTAAAGCGAAATAAGTATGAGGCGCGTGAGTCGGGAAACCCGACCTACATCAAAATATATTTGTTATGGTGGAGGCATAGGACGAAATGAGACCGAGGCATATGAGTCAAGAAATCTAGCCCATTTCAAGATAAATCTGTTATGGTGGAAGCATAGGGTAAAACGAGCCCGAGGTGTACGAGTCAAGAAATCTGACCTATGCCTAAGTAAATCCACTATGGTACAAATATAGGCCCTAGGTGTGTGTTAGAAAATCTGATCCATATTAAGATAAATCTACTACGATGAAGGCATAGGAAGAAATGAGCTTGAGGTGTGTGAATTGAAAATTTTGATGCACGTCAAAATAAATCCGCTATAGTAGAAGCATAGGGCGAAATGAGCCCGAGGCATGTGAGTCAAAAATTTTGACCAATGTCAAGATAAATTCGCTCTGGCAAAGTTATAAGGTAAAATGAACTCGAGATATATGAGTTAGGAAACCCGATCCTCACTCGAGTAAAACCACTATGGTACAAATACGCCTACGAGCGTAATCATGTGTTGGAAAATCCGACCAATGTCAAGATAAATCCACTACGATAAATGTACAAGGTGAAATGAGCCTGATGCATGTGAGTCAAAATTTTTTGCCAACGTTAAGATAAATTCGCTACGACAGAGGTACTTGATGAAATGAGCTCGAGACGTGTGAATTAGGAAACTCAACTCAAGCCCAGGTAAATCCACTATGATACAAATATAGGCTCGAGGCATGTAAATTGAGAAATTTGATCCACATCAAGATAAATATATTATGACGGAGGCGCAAAACGAAATGAGCCCAAAGAACATGAGTCGGAAAACCCGATTCACGTCAAAATAAATTTGCTATGGTGGAACCATAGGGTGAAATAAGCCCAAGACGTATGAGTCAAAAAAAAAAAAAAAATTGACCTATGTCAAAAATAAATCTGCTGCAATGAAATCCTAAGGGTCAAATGAGTCGAAGGAGCACCAAAAGCAGTTTTATCGGTCATGTGGTTAAACGGAGACCATTTTGGTTATCCACAGTCCCTAACTTGAAGTTTCGCATCGACTGCAATTCCCAACCCAATGGATCCAAACCCATGCAAACTTAGCATGTTGGGCCAGTAGTCTCTTCTAAGCTTTCGATGTACTAAGAATATGAGCGCACCCTTTTGTGACGCAGCGCTGGTGCCAGACAACAGCAGCAGCAGCAGCATAGTCTTCAAAGATGACTCTCAGGCCGAGCTGAAAGAATATTCCATGGATTGAGACAAGAGGCAAGCCTCCAAATTCTCGAGAGCGACTCAGTGAACAGAGCACTCCAGCTGCTGGAAGGACGAGTCCCTCCCTCCTTTCAAAAGATGTCATCCATGGCGTCTCTTGCCAGCGTAGGGGACCGCCAAAAAGCAAGTAAAAAGAGCAACACGATGACATGTGTACGTTGAACTCTCCTCGCCGACTCTCTCTCTCTCTCCCTCTCTCTGTCTCTCTTCCTTATCGTCATCACCACCAACGACTCCCCAGAGTGAATGCCATCGCTCGGTGGCTTTCACACGTCCACCTGACGATGAACGAGCCAATCTACGCACATGGAATAGGATCCTGCAGGTGCTATCCACGGAGAGGAGAGACGAGTCTTTATACGGTCGTCTCGGCTACGACGTACTCGCCAGCGACGTCGACAATGTTCCCTACAAACTTTGCGCGACTTGTCTTTGCATGGGAGATGTAATAGGAAAAGTTAAGGGGTCACTGTACCATTTCGAGACGGATGGGCCGTCTCACGACGCGTTTCGGGTTCCTGTGCGATCAAGGTAGCGCGCGTTCGCTGTTCTGAGAAAAACAGCCGATGGAACCACGTCTGACCGACGTCACAGCTCGCCGCGTTGACTGGGCGTGCTGTCGAGCGTCCACGTCAACCGACCGAGGTCAAAATACACCAAGACCCCTGCGCTATCATAAACGTACGACGGAGATCTCCGGCGCTCATAGAATGAACGGTCGGGATTGAAACGGAAAAGTAATATTAGATTTTACCTTCGTCACTTCGCCATGAATGTTTTCCCGAGAACGTGTCCATGAAACAAAGCCATGAATGTGTGCAGGGCAGACAGGAATGTGCATGTCCAACAGCCCACCCGAATCACGGAGATCATGGAATGTGCCTGTCCAACAGCCCTAATGAATCATGCAAATCTTCTCCACTGCACTCTTCCTATGGTCCTCGTTGTTCGACTGGCTCTCTGAAGCCTCTTCCCCAAAGTTCTACATGATCTGAACTCTGTTTTGGGAGCTCAATCATCCGTCGCAAATGGACAAAGGCAGTAAATCCACGGGGTCTGCTAATTACAGGAAACGAGGGGAATCCAAAGATGAGATGTGGTGGGCCAAATCGTAAGAGAGCAGCATGATTAACCCGGCGTCGCTATAAAGTACCTTTGGGAAACGCTTCCATGGAGAGCGGATGGGGAGAGGACGAGGGAGCGCTGGGAAGATAACGCAAGGAGACATACACGCAAGACATCTCTGTCTGCGTCTTGTGCTTTGACAAGCGTGCTGCTGTCATCTGAGCATGCCTAGCTCGCGCTGTCCGACGCTTGCGTGAGCGACGCTCTCATTCCCTTTTTTCCCCGGCCTCGTTTCAGCCACGAACCCGTTGCGGTTCCTCTGGTGGCATCCCCTTTCCTGCGGAGGAGAAAAGAAAGAGACGGGGAAGAAAAGGAAACAGAGTCCACGGAGAACAAAGTATAGTTTTAAGCCGAGCGATCGAGAAGTAGGACGCCTTTCTCCTCTTCCTCTTCGCCAAGATCTTATTTTGAGGATTCGGATGGTTAATAGTGGTGGTTTCACATGCGTGTGTAAGATCTCTTGGCTTGGTGTTGGGTTTCCTGGGAGATCGAGCAAGCTTCGTTGAGAGGGCTTCTGCCGCTCTGTTCCGAGGCCTGCTTGGGATTTTTCTTGCTCTAATAGCATTTTTGTGATCCTTTTGATCGCGTTTTTTTGGCTCAAGTTTATTGTTCTTTCTTGCGCTGCGGACCAAGGTGTGGTAATCCTTTTCATCTACTTTGAGCCCTGAGCTGAGCCGCAAGTCGTATTTGCTGCCCCGCTTTCTTCCTTCGGCTTCCTTTGACGTTCGCCATCTAGTGGAGAGGCATGGAGGAAGAATTTAGAGGAGGTCGGCCTCAGTTGTTCGATTTCATTACGAATGGGAGAGATTGGAGTGATAAGGGAGGTTACGGCGCCGCGGAGGAGAAGAATCTGGAACTGAGGCTTGGCCTCCCGGGAGGAGAAGATTGGTCGGCGGTGCAGGAGAAGAGAGAACACCCTGCCGAGTCTGCTGTGTCTCCTGGCCACATCGCCAAGATTCCCAAGAGCACCAACATGAGTGCTTCTTCTGGAGCCAAAAGAGGGTGCTCGGATGCGGTTGACTCGAAACCAGAAGGGACATTAGCAGATAAAACCAGTTAATCCTGTTCTTGTTCTCGATCGTTTCTTTGATCCTATTTCCATGATTCATGACTTCTTGACCCTCGATCTGCTTTCTTCTAGCTTTCCAGCAACAACATCTGCAGCAGCAGCAGCTTGGGTTCCTCCAGTTGCAGGCCAAAGGAAAGGAATCATTGCATAGGACAAGTGGAAGCGCAGGGTTGCAGAGCCTGGAGGGGAAAGTGTGTGGTCCTCATGCAGCACATGCATCTTCAACCAAGAACACGACTGCAACACACAGCACTTCTCAGTCAAGGTGGTAATCATGTCGAACTCTTTTCTTTAAGGGAATTTATGTTAGCTACTGTTTGCCTCTGACTCCACCACGTTCCTCTGTTCATAGGAAGATCTCCATTTTTCAGCTCTAGTTCATTCTTACAAACCAATGGACAGAGAGATTAGCATCACAGAACGGTCTCACTGTTTCAGTATATAACATTAGGAATTGATATGAAAAGTATAATCTCGATACTGTTGATCTTTGGCATCCTTATGTATGTGTTGGGAAAAGCTTCCGTCTTAACCATTTGGATCTGTATGGTAGAACCTCTAAAATCCTCATTGTAGTATTGATTCTGTCTTCCTCTCTGGATACCTTTTGAACTCATTGTTGTGCTCTTGATCAGCTGACAAGCATCAAATCTCTCATTCCTTGTTAGTACCATGACTTAGCATCCAAATATGCTCTTGTAGATGCACTTTTTTAGTTAGATTCATACCATGTTCTTAATGGTCAGAAGAGAGAGATCTCACTGTCCTGTAACAGTCTCCTAAATCCTCATTCTTTGTTGTGTTCATGAAAGCAGAGCTGCCGCTGCTCCTGTCGTTGGCTGGCCTCCCATCCGATCTTTCAGAAAGAATCTTGCTGGTACTGCCAAAGCTTCTGCCGAATCTCCCAACCGGCGCTCCGAAGCCGAGAAGAAGCTCGAGAACGACCGCAAGGGCTTGTTTGTGAAAATTAACATGGATGGCATCCCGATAGGAAGAAAAGTAGACCTGAAGGCATACGATAGCTATGAGAAGCTCTCTTTGGCCGTCGATGAACTGTTCCGAGGCCTTCTCATGGCAGGTGCTCCACAAACTCGTTTGACATGCATGACCATGGCCTATAATTCTCGATCATCCTCATCGGTGGCTCACCCAAGTATTAGACTAAACCGATAGTCTTCCTGTTGTGCTCTTTGTATAGCTCAAATGGATCTGCTTGCTGCTACCACACACAGCACCATAGAAACGCATCTGATTTCCGGCTTGTTAGATCGAAGCGGGGAATACACTCTGGTTTATGAAGATGATGAAGGGGACAAGATGCTGGTTGGCGATGTTCCATGGGAGTAAGTACACTCCACCTTCTCAACTTGTGAACACAATCTATTCATGAACGTACTCATCGTTCTTACACCCGTATCTATTACTTGCAGCATGTTTGTTTCCACTGCTAAGAGACTACGTGTGTTGAAGAGCTCCGATCTCTGTGCATCACCTTTAAGTGTAGCTTCTCTTTAACTTTCAATTGCAGACTCTAATATACGCAGTGACTTCAACCTTTTCCTCTTTGTTTCTGCAGCCGGGAGAAATCAGGAGGAGGACAAACGACTGTTGAATTGGGAGTGATGTCGTGGCGCTGTCATTTGAATGCTTGCTTGCTTGCTTTAGGTTCTTATCTCCCATCATGCTTCCTACTGCTCTTCCACTTGCTCGAGTCCCCGAGACAGTGTGTATCGGTATACAATATGTAAATCTGCAGTCTGAAATATCAACATCGCCATTTTCTCGCGTTGCCAGCTTGCTTTCTCCACTCGGTTACTGCGCTGTGTGTTTGGTTTGAAGAGGACGAGGCAAACACTTGTCCTTCTTTCCTTTCCTGTAAGACGCAACTCAGGAACGACGAAGTCAAACACAGCCTCCATTTACCTGTCTTCGCCCACTGCTAATGGCAGCATGCATGAGACGTTCCAGTTCCACAAACAACGGGCTGGTTCTTGAAGCCAGGGGCTCATGAAACGCCACTGCCACCGACAGCCCCGACATTGTTGTGGCCACAGGCCGAACAGAGTCCACCATTGCCCAACTTCATCCCCAAATCTGCTCCACTTGAGCGTGTTTGAGCCTCCTGCGGCAGTCGGTAGTATACCAATACTTTGGAAGAATCCTCCACATGCCTGTCCAAAGAACCAGTTGCTTTCTACACCTAACTCTGTCTTCAGACTCGACGACAGCATGAGGCATTCAGCTACGGATCAGATGACGAATAAACAATGTAGGCAAGAGATAAAAGGTCGGAGGTTCCTATCATCATGCTGATGATGCATGAATGACCAAACGAGTTGTCATGATAATGAAATCAATGTATCCGAACAAGCATTAACAGAAGATGGCCTGCTGAGGCCATTGACGAACGACGTATTGACCCACGAGATAGATGAACGACGTTCTAAGAGGAGATTTGGATTAACTTAAAGACATCACTAACTTGAGATTAAATATTTATAGACTAACAATTTAGATTTATTAAGTTAACGAATCGATTACAACATTGAATTGGTTTAGCGAGCCGAATCGTTATCCCATCTCAAGTTCAATACATCACGACTGTAATTAAATCTGATTTTTATAATCAATTATTATCTTCTATAGTCAGATACCCTATTATAAGATCGAGCAAACGAATGTTATTATCACATTACCATTAAATGTGCTCTATTTAACTATCCATTACCATTAAATGTGCTCTATTTAAAAACTTTTAAAAAGATTTTGTATATCATACGTTAAAAAGATTTCTTCTCCCGGAAAAAAAAGTCAAATTATTTGGAGAAATACGACATATATTGACTAGGCTTAGCTGGATTTTCTGCTCATAGTAAATATTAGAAAATAGAAGCCAAAAACTTAGTTTTCTCTATGCCCTTTGAAGTTGACGACATTTATAATTTTCCGCAAATCCAGCGACCGCTAATGAAAGGCTTCAATCAGGGTGAGGTCAGCCGTTGACTTCTTTTTGTGCAATTACCCACGTGCCCCAATCATTTACCGTTTGGCCTCGACGGTAGACTCGTGAACACGTGCTCCTTCAGGGCCTTTTTGGGAAACTAAAAACGACACGTGGATTCGAGACGTTTTGCTTCGCCACCCAAGAAGGAAATTGTATTTAAGATAATACACCCCCTCATAAATGTGATTTTGACAATTAAGGAAGGTTAAAATAGATTCACCGCCGGTGAATCGTGGAATAGATTAATCCCAAAAGATTCGCGTTTCAAACCCACATATCTCTGCCTATATAAACACTCTCAGCGGAGGAGTAAGCTTTCATCGTATTGATTCCTTCCTTCTCATTGAATCAAAGGAGCTTTGTGAGTTCAGCTGGTGATCGTTTTTTTCCCTTACCTGCCTACGGCAAAGCGTAAGAAGACTAAATGATTCCATTTTGTAGGACCTGAAGACGGTAAGCTCTGTCGCTGAAGTGATCCATTCCTTTTCCTGCGGGAGATGGGTCGGGCAACGCGGTGGCTGTGGAATCTGTGGGGTGGTAGCGAGAAGAAAAAGGAGCCGAAAAGTTACTCCAGTCACGGCGGCGAGGAGAGGATGGAGAAGAAAAGATGGAGCTTTCGGAGGTCCAGGGACTCCTCCGGTGACGTGGTGCTGGGCCAGAATGCTGCCACGGCGGCCGCGATCGAAGCCGCATGGTTCAAGTCCTTCTACGCTGTGAATGAGAGGGAGCAGAGCAAGCATGCCATTGCTGTGGCGGCGGCCACGGCCAACGCAGCGGTTGCAGCGGCGCAGGCAGCCATGGTGGCGGCGCGTCTCACCACGCCGGGGAGGGGCGCCACGTTCAGCTTCCCCAAGGAGGAGTTGGCGGCGGTGAAGATCCAAACAGCATTCAGAGGCCACTTGGTAAGCAATCCACTGATCGCATGCTTGCTCTGTTTCGCTTGAGTTTGAATCCTTGTGGTTTGCCTTCTTCCAAGGCGAGGATAGCACTCCGAGCTCTGAAAGCGTTGGTCAAACTGCAAGCCTTGGTGAGAGGTTATCTTGTTCGTAAGCAAGCCGCCGCGACTCTTCACAGCATGCAAGCTCTCGTCAGAGCTCAGGCCACCGCACGAGCACAAAGATACGGGAACCTCCTCCCGGACGATAGAAGCTTTCGACCAGAAGTCCGCCATCGGAGATCTTTAGTACGTAACGAACGTCTCCACAAGTTGATGGTGCTTGAACTAAGCTTCCATTTCTCTTTCGTTTCATCACAGGAACGCTTCATCGACGCCCGAATCGAGCACACGCCGGCGTTTCAAAGACGGAGCTTCTCGACGAGTCTTGGCGGTGCTACTCCCGACAGAAGCCCAAAAACCGTGGAGATCGATGTGTGCGGCCCGAGGTCGCGATCTTCTTGTCGAGCCATTCCCTCTGCTGTGGATCCAGCGGATCATTTCTCTTCTCCAATTCCCTGCCCGGTTCCAGCACGAGTCTCTACTCCCAGCCGCCGGAACTCCCAAGAGAACGACTGGTGTAACAGTGGCGAGAAGTGCCGGATCTCGGCCACAGCACAGGGAACGCCCAGATACACGAACTCGCCTGGTAAGGTGGGCGTGACTCAGGCCAAGAGTGTGTACGATGCTGAGGGAGTTTACAGGCGATACGTGAGCGAATCGAGCTCTCCAAACTATATGGCGAACACGCAGTCATCGAAGGCGAAGCGGAGGGCTCAAAGTGCCCCGAAACACCTGCCGGAGGTGGCAGGGATGAGAAAGAGGCAACCTCTGGGTGACCTAAGCAACTCCTGTTTCCAAGCTCAGGTGGTTCTCAACCTCAACAAAGCGGAGCAGGGAAAAGTGGAAGGGAGGGAGGTCTTCTTCTTGCAGCCAAAGTGGTGAATGCAATGGAGTCTTCAAGTCAGAATAAGAGGAAGTAGAGCAATCTTCTCTCTTTTGAGTGTCGTTCTCCTGTTCATGGAATAATTGTATGGTGTGAAAATTTGGGATGTTTCATCACCTTGGTTGCTGATAGCAGCATCAAATTTAGGTTGTAGCTTGTCTTCTAAACTGCGTTAGAAATGTAACATGCTTGTAAGTCTCAGTGCTAAGTGGGAGAAGTGGATCGGAGCCAATTCATCCACCTATTAAATATATCATGAGAAGTAAAAAGATGACCATGCAAATATATACAGATATAACCACGCAAATATATCTCAAATCTACATCACACTTTCAGGAAGATTGTCCAACATACATATGAGCACAGAGACAAATGTTGATACAAATGAAAAGTCAAACTTCGAGATGATGCCAACAGCCCAACAAGACTTTTGAACAAATTTCCAACATGATTTCAAGCTGATTATAAAATTCACACACAAGGGAATGTCGGGTGAATTGCAAGACCATGCAAATACCAAAATAAGAAGTTCCAAAGCATCAACACCGGATTCAGAAACCCTGGTCGTAAAGATAATCACCAAGCCTCTCGACAACCATGTTGCACTGGCCACCAGTCATTGGCTCATCATATATACCAATGATCAGAGCCAGATTGGATTTCTTAATAGTGACACCACCGGTACCCTGAAAAGGCATCATCTTAGAAAGTCAGAAAGAAAGCATTTCAGATCATCATTGGCACTAACATCATGTGTAGTTTACATCTATTTAGGCAATTAAGAACCCCAAATCAGTATTTCATCATTTATTCTCCAACCAAATGGCCCCTTGAGTTCTTTTTATGAGAACTTCAAATTTCATAGCAGGGCTTGTTGCTGCTTTCACTTTTATTAAGTATCAGTAATTGGAAAACAAGGGCCTACAACAAAAAACACAATTGAAAAAAATTATCAGATGATGAATTCCATGACAGCTGGTGTGACTCCTCAAACTTAAGTTCATTAAAATATGAGCATTTTCTTGATTAAATGACTAAGGAAGATATGATGTATGAAGAACAATGTGAAAAACTTCTAAGAGGATAGGATGCACTTTTTACTAGTTTTTCAGAAAAAATCATATGAATACTAGCGATCCACGTTACACTAAAAGAGTCCTTTCAGATTTGACAAGACCAAACAGATTCTCCCAAGGTTCAGGATGATCTTATCCGGTACTAAGAATTGACTTATGCCATCATTTGAGAAACATGGTTCAAAGCACCGTGTAAGAGAAGATATCACACCAATCTAGCATCTTAGGAAAGGCTGCTAGTTTGGCAGGAACCACATAAGTGAGAAATTGCAGTCGTGTCAGACCTTGTGGCATCAGGATGTGAAGAAACAGAAAGAGGAGAGGGAGAGATTGCCTTCCTTATACAAAAGTACATAAGAATAACAGATCTCATTTGAAATCTACAAGAAAGTCAATTAGGCTAGCGTGAGATTTGCAAAAAGGAGAAGTTGGAACTTGCAAGAAAAGTTTAATCTCACACCTGGGCCACCACTGACAAGTCTTATTTCTAGGACCTCATCTCTAGTGGTTCTTTCGCATGCATGGAATTGGAGGAGCACCAGCAGTGTTCACTGACCATGAGCATGAGAAGAAAGTATGCGAGAAGATGGAAAAATGAAACCATCCACAGCAATACACGTAGATTGAAAAATGGGTCATCATATATTTGATCAATTTTTTATGGGAAAAGACATGAAATATTCAAATTTTAGTTAACCACTTTTACCCATAATTAATAATATAGTGGCTGAATAAAAATACTGACAGTGGAAAGGAATTCTTAATTAGAAAAAAAAAAAGTTATGTCCTAAAAAGAATTGTAGCATGTTATAAAACTCAAATTTTTATGCCATAGGAGACAAATTGATAAGTGGATCAGATAACTAGCAGACGCTTGTTGGGGCCAAAAACAACTGGACCATTCATCACAACCATTTGCCATCACTTTAAAGTTATCAACTTACTAAAATAGATAAGCACAGCTTGTAAGTAATTTATTTTAGACAGTTCGTGGCTCCTTGGTCTTTAGCTGAAATGAGGTTTCAGTGAAAACATCCTTGGTGCTGTAAACATCTAAACATTGTTTATCCATGTTATTAAGTTTTACTGGGTATAGTTAGCCAATTCCAAATCAAAACAGTATAAATCAGCTACAAAACAAAAACCATGTATATAATGCCTCCCCCCCACCCCAAAAAAATATGAATTATAACTGCTTCGACAAGAAGATGATCAAATTGCATATCTTGACACCTATGTGAAAGTTCAGTTCAATGTTAAAGATCAAGTATATAATTTATGCACGTACAAAAAGAATATGACCATCGATTAGACATCCAATAACTGTAAATGTAGATTAGCTCATAGACGATAGACGAATTACTGACCTTCTTCCCTCGAATAACAGCACCTGGCTCGCCTTGGATGACCATATACTTTGTTCCACCAAGAAATAATCCAGTTGGTGCAAGAGATCCAGGCTCATCAAAGTCAGTCATGATTGCAGTAATCTCTTCAGGTTTGAACTGATAGTATTGAGAAGACAAAACTCATTAAAAGATGACATACATAGTGGAACTAAGACAAATAAAATGCTTTGTGACGCGACGACCATGTCTGATGTCATGTTCGTGTATGCTGCCAGTCCAGTAAAAGAAACTAAATTTCCAGAAAACTGATAACTGTAATCATGCCCTAATATTCCTTCCAACCAAAACGGATACTACATCATTTTCTTCTTCCCCACGAGATGCAAGCTGGAATCATTTTCATGCTTCAGATCCCCCCTCTTTTCCAAAAGAAAGGAACAAAAGAGATCAAGAAAGAAGGGAAGCAAGATCTTCTCTTTTCCAATGCTTCCGGCGCTATCTAACAAACCTCAACCTCCACCATCCCACAAAGAAGAGAAAACTCTCAAGAAACTAAAAGAGCATATCCACATAAAACGATTACAAATCAGGTTTCTGGCGGTCAACTACCAGATCTTGCAGATCCACCAACGAAACCGATCAACAAAGATCCCATCCCGTCCCGATCAAACACAGGGGAACAGGGAGCGCGGATCGAAGGCCGCAAGAATCAGATCCTTCATTCACACTGCTATCTATCACGAAATCAAGAACCACACACAGGAATCGATCGAGAAAGAGGGCGGAGACCTGAGGGAAGGAATCACTCTGGGCCCAGACGCTGCCGTCGTGGCCAAGGATGGCGGCGGCGGTGAGACGCTGATCGTCGATGTCGCACATCAGATGATCATCGACGTACGTTTGCCACGACATCCTCTCTCTGCACACTCTCCCCCCTCGTCTCCTCTCTTCCGGTGCCGCCGCTGTTGCAGTCTTTCCACAGTCTACTCTCTACGGAGAAGAAATGGTAATCGAGGGGAATTTATACAGTAAGAGACCACCAAAGTTGACCGACACGGAAGCAATAAATAGCCTTAGAAATCCTTTAATACATTAAACTGTTATACACATTATTTCTTCTCATAGGAAAAGATGAAGAAAAAATAATCTTTGGAATCAATCTTATTTTTGTTGCTATGGACTGTTTTCTTTTTTTATGATGAGAAATTTCATGCATTTTCAATTTAAAACAAAAAGTATATATATACATATATATACATATACATATATGTATATGTATATACATATATATAAATATATGTATATACATATATATATATATACATATACATATATGTATATATGTATATACATATATACATATACATATATGTATATACATATATACATATATACATATATATATATATATATGTATATATGTATATACATATATACAT